CGGCCGGGTCCGGCTCGCTCCCACGCCGCGCCGAGCCCCTGGAGAAGTCGCTCAAGTCCGTAAACTCAGCTCTTCAGGCTGCTATTTAAGGCTGCAGGCGTCATACTCGCTGCAGCGTGGCGAAGCGTCCTGGGACACGCTTGCACAGCCGCTGCCATCCTGCAGCCTTTACTGAAACGAGTCGGGAGTCCCCTGCGATTTTCCGCCTGGCTAAAAACTTTAACGGATAAACACGACACCAGCCCCGCGAGGCAGGTGAGCACGGGTCTAACGGCGGCGCGTGAATAACGCCACGGACATCTTCTTCACTCTGGCGCTAGTTCAAGTAAATGAGGTCATTCATGCTTAAAGTCGAGCACATCCTTTAGTCTGTTGACGGGCTGGACCCTACTGGTTGCATCCCTTACACGTCTTACGTATGGCATCATGAAATGTGATTGACTTTGGCCTATCACCGCATTATTGCATATTAAAGTGTTAAACTCACTCCTCTAGCAACTTAACGCAATGATACTATTGCTTGCCTTTCGCCACGCACGAACAGCAGCTTTAATCTAATTGGGGGAAAAAAAAAAAACCCCACGTGTTTGGTCTGGATGGCTGGAGGGACCTTCTGAGCCCGCGGCCGAAGAGCGCGGGCAGCAGCGTCTCCCGTGGGAAGGGCAGCTCCACTTCTCTGAGGAAGAGCTGCGGTCACCAGCGCCCTAACGGAGGCGTAGTGCCACCACTCACGTCTGACTTCCAGCGTAAAAACATTTGGAGAGATTAATACTTTCCCTCAATTACTGCTCCTAGTATCTCACTAACAGATGAATGTGTTAATAGCACAAGACACTCTTAGGTAAATATTTAATTAAGCTCCAGAAAAAGAAAGAAAATGTGTATCATTTACCTGACAGATCAGATCAACCATTCTATTAGGTTAATTAGGCATATTTTAAAAAATCATTTGTGTTATGTAACAGGCAATTAACTCTTTAGAGCCTGGTCCACAGCCTGTTAAAAAACAATAGCTCTTATCCCACTGACTCTGATGGGAACCGCAGCATCCTTGAAGGTAGCTTCCAAAATCCCTACTGAAACCTTCAGAAAAATTAGCAGGGGACAAAGAGACGCGCACACGTTAATCGGAGGCACAACTCCAAA